GTAGTATGTAGCAGGAATAGGAAATGGGATGCTTACCAGAGGAAGATTGAAATGAAGGGGAACAAGCAGGAAAATGAAGAACGATCGAAATAACAAGAGAATTAGAAGAATGATTGAGTATGTAAAGGACAACTAAAAAAATTGTCAATTATGTATTTAATGTAGGATTTTCACATTTTACAGAGGCACTGTATGATTTTGCACTAAACAATAAACTGATTTACCACACCTGAGATTTTATTCTCTACACTACTACTTAAAATCAAGCATATAACCGGTAAATAATCTCATTTAATGATTTCATGACAGGTTATAATCCTTACAAAAACACATCAAAATAAACGATTAGAATCGGTTTTGAAGCACAATTGGTTTGTATTATATAGCTATAATATGATGTTAGGTCTAAGCAACTAAAGTTTGCGATGCTGAACTTCTTAACCGACAATGGATTGTCACTACTTTGGGAAAATCGAATCCTGAACAAATAATAAGGTGGTAACGTAAATGCAATTTTACTGTAACCTTAATTCAATATTCCAAATTAAAAGTTATTCACAAACGATCTTCAATATTTAGAAACTTATTAAAATGAGAACTCTGCCTGGAGCCCTTCCGGGGTTACTGGCGGTCCCAAGCCCGGGTAAAGAAGGAGGGTTGGGCATGAGGTTAGCGGCCCCATCCCGTAGAAAACTAACTCGCTAAGAAAACGATAACCGGAAAAAAATAATTCAAACCATTTAAACTTTGCCCTGAGAGTCGAGGTCTTCATTTAGAAGAGTTATGAAGCCTCATGATGAAAGCCAAGTTCCTTCGGAAGTCACGAGGCAGATGCCCCTTCTGACAACCAGAGCAACTATTTATTTAAGTACATGGAATGCTCGTACAATGTGGGAGATCGGGAGAGTCTTCGAAATTGCTGCAGAAATGAGGAGATACAACCTAAAGGTGCTTGAGATCAGTGAAACACACTGAACAAAAGTTGGACAACAACGACCAACTTCAGGAGAGCTTCTGTTATACTCCGGCCATGAAGAAGAAAATACCTCGCATACACAAAGAGTTGCATTGATGCTGTCCAAACAAGCACAAAATGCACTTATAGGATGGGAATCTCATGGACCAAGGATCATCAAAGCCTACATCAAAACAAAGAAAGATGGCATTTCAATGAACAGCATCCAATGCTATGGGCCTACCAACGACTACAATGAAGACGCTAAAGATCAATTCTACAATAGGCTGCAGTCAATCGTCTTGAACTGCCCAACAAAGAACCTAACCATTCTGATGGGAGACCTAAATGCCAAGGTTGGAATGGACAAAACCGGATATGAAGACATCATGGGACGACATGGACTGGGAGAAAGGAACGAAAATGGTGAGAGATTTACAAACCTATGTGCTTTCAATACACAAGTCATAAGCGGCACAATATTCCCACATAAAGGCATTCACAAAACCACATGGACTTCACCGGATCACACTACGCAGAACCAAATCGACCATATCTGCATCAACAAAAAGTTCAAGAGGACGATGGAGGATGTAAGAACCAAGAGAGGAGCTGATATAGCACCAGATCATCACTTGCTGGTCGTCAAGATGAAATTGAAACTCAAGAAGCACTGGACAATTGGGCGGACAATATCACAAATATTCAATACGTCCTTTCTTCAGGATACTGACAAACTCAACAAATTCAAGATAGTCCTCAGCAATAAGTTCCAGGCCTTTCATGGTCTACTCAATGGAGAAGGAACTACTATAGAGAGCAACTGGAATGGGATAAAAGAGGCAATCACTTCAACATGTCATGAGGTTCTGGGCCACAAGAAGCACCATCAAAACGAATGGATCCATAGCAACTCACGTGAGATTGAGTTTGTTCACATTTAATTCGGTTAAGCCATTTTGTTAACTTATTAACGAACTGAGTCATCCGTACAACAACAACTTATCTTTATCATTGTATCTTTATTATTGTTGCGAATGTATGAACATGTATGCTTGAGCATTGCTTACTGCCTTACTACTAACCGCTTAATTGATTCGATGATTCATTCATCTCAATATGTATATAAATGTCCATGTTATTCATGTTCATGGCTCTCTCACGCTTAATTGCACTCGCTTACTCGTACTCATATTCGCTGACTCACTCGATCGCTCGCTCGCTTGTCTGCTTGCCTTTCGGCACAACTCGTTCATGTTTGTTTAACGCACCTGCAATTTTGGATATCTGTGTGTGGTTCCACAATAAACATAATTGACACTTCGTATTTGCCTTCTGATTAATATACCGTTGGGGCGTTATCTAGTGACGGTTATCAAGATGAACTGTATACGAAGTTTAAGGATTATATTGAATACCGACCACCACAGATCACTGTTGATACACTGGACAAGATTCAAGAAAGGAGGAACAAAAAGACAGCAGTCGTTACCAGCCGAATAAGAGCAGAGAAATCCAAGGCACAGGCTGAATACACAGAATTAAACAAGCAAGTGAAGAAAAGCATCACAACCGACAATCGTAAATATGTGGAAGATCTAGCTATGACGGCGGAAAAGGCTGCAAGAGAAGGAAACATGAGAAAACTATATGACACAACAAAGAAACTCTCTGAAATCACCGTAAAGCAGAACGACAATGAACAGCAAGGAAGGCAAGGTAATCACCAACATTGAAGAACAACGAAACAGGTGAGTAGAACACTTCAAAGAACTCTTGAATCGACCAGCTCCACTGAACCCACCCAACATCGAAGTAGCACACACGGACCTCCCAATCAGTGTTGGCCCACCAACAATTGAAGAAATCAGAATGGCCATCGGACAAATCAAGAGTGGCACAGCAGCAGGACCAGACAACATCCCAGCAGAGGCACTGAAAGCAAACGTAGCAATAACTGCAAGGGTACTCCACATTCGCTTCAATAAGATTTGGGATGAGGAACAAGTACCAACAGACTGGAAAGAAGGACTTCTGATCAAAATAGCAAAGAAAGGCGATCTCAGCAACTGTGATAACTACAGGGGCATCACTCTTCTCTCAATACCAGGGAAAGTCTTCAACAGGGTATTGTTAAACAGGATGAAGGACTCCGTAGACGCCCAACATCGAGACCAACTGGCAGGATTCCGTAAGGATAGATAGTATACAGACCAAATCGCAACTCTACGGATCATTGTGGAATAATCAATTGAATGGAATTCATCACTCTACATCAACTTCATTGATTATGAGAAAGCATTTGATAGAGTGGACAGAACAACACTATGGAAGCTTCTTCGACACTACGGCGTGCCTCAGAAGATACTCAACATTACACAGAATTCCTATGATGGATTAAACTGCAAAATCGTACATGTAGGACAGTTGAAAAACTTGTTTGAAGTTAAGACCGGTGTCAGGCAAGATTGCTTACTCTCACCCTTTCCCTTTCTCCTGGTGATCGACTGCATCATGAAGACGTCAACATCTGGAGAGACGCACGGGATACAGTGACATCTAGGATGCAGCTGGACGATCTAGACTTCGCAGACAATCTGGCTCTTCTATAGCAAACGCAACAACGAATTCAGGTGAAGACGACCAGTGTAGCAGCAGTAGGTTTCAATATACACAAAGGGAAAAACAAGATTCTCCGATGCAACACAGCATGCACCAATCCAATCACAATTGACGGAGAAGATTTGGAAGATGTAAAAACCTTTGCATATTTGGACAGCACCATTGATGAACATGGTGGATCTGATGCAGATGTGAAAGCGCGGATCGGTAAAGCAAGAGCAGTATACTTACAACTGAAGAACATCTGGAACTCAAAACAACTGTCAACCAACACCAAGGTCAGGATTTTCAATACAAATGTCAAGACAGTTCTACTGTATGGGGCGGAAACCTGGAAAACTACGAAAGCCATCATCTAAAATATACAAGTGTTTATTAACAGTTGTCTACGCAAAATACTTCGAATCCGTTGGCCGGACACTATTAGCAACAACCTATTGTGGGAAAGAACAAACCAGATCCAGTGGAAGAAGAAATGAGGAAGAAGTAATGGAAGTGGATGGGACACACATTGAGAGATACACCAAATTGGGTCACAAGACAAGCCCTCACATGGAATGCTCAAGGCTAAACAAAGGAGGAGAGGAAGACCAAAGAACAAATTACGCCGGGAAATGGAGATAGACATGAGAAGAATGAACAACAATTTGATCAAACTAGAAAGGAAGGCCCAGGACAGAATACTGGTCGGCGGCCTACGCTCCATTGGGAGTAACAGGCGTAAGTAAGTATTGAAAAGATCCTAAAATAATGATTTTTTGCTGGTTTTCATTTACAAATACTGTTCACATGAACAGAGATGCGGAGCGAATGAAGTTATTTTCAATGATAAATCATTATAATAATTTTGTGCGAGCTGAGATATTGTTCGACAACCCAGACCGAAGCAGGTAGTATTCTGATAGGAGAAGCCAATCCCCGTTTCTTCGATTTAAAGGTTTAGACAGTAAGGCAGTGCAACAATATCACAAAGTCCTGGTGATCAAAATAAGTTCATATTGCTATTTATTCTCATAGGATCTTGGATTCAATGTACACCATTGGTTTGGTCTTAGAGTTTTATAACTCCTCTAGTTAAATCTTCCAAATCCAACAAAACGGTTTAAACGATAAAGTTCAATTTTTGTTCTCATTCATAAAATAAACCAGTAACATGAAGGTAATAAAACTATTTCCCTGGCAGAAAAGTGAACATAAGAAAACATTTCACTAGGGAGATTGAGCTCTCCTCACCTGTAACTATATCAGGGCACTTGAAGGCCTTGTTTTCAGCTAAAATTATCAATAGCTCCAAGTTTTTCTAAGTATAAAGTCGGTTATTTTTAGCTTTTATATAAGATTTTCCGTGACATTACTGAATTATCTACCTTTAAATACACCAATAATAAGATTTTTTAAAATGTTAGAAAATAAGTTAACTCACTTCTTTTAGTAAAAATTGAATAGAATTCGAATGTAATTGATTCAGTTTAGATTCAGCTTCATTGGATTTACATTGAGTTTGTAATTGTTTTTGTAAAAATATAACATGATCTTGTAATAGTTTAGTTTGATTACCACATGTTGGACAGTAATTAGATAATGATGTTGTCATGGAAGATGTTGAAGATAATGTTATTGGGTTAGAATTGTGACTAAATTTGTTAACTGGATTAATCAATGGATTATCTAACACAGTAGTTGTTACGTTATAACGATCAGCTGTACAAAAAGAATAGTTTATATTGTATACAATATAATGATATTTTTTATAAAATTTGTAATGAGATGGAAAATCAGAAATTAACAATGGATTATGTATAGTAGGGTAACTTAATCTAAACACCATATCATAGCCACTGCTTGTTTGAGTGATAAATATTTCCATTGATTTCACGCATTTAAGGAACAAAATATTGCCATTTTCACTTCGTTAATCATAACATATGAGCTATTTTGTAATGCACTTACAATTTCTCGCGAAAATCCACGAGGAGCTATCTTAGTTTTAATTGGTTACTTTAGGGCCGTCAGTACAATATACTTATCACCGTATACAGATGTAATTGTCGAAATTTGATGTGACTGATTGAAAGGGAAACAATGATCCTACTACTAATAGATATTACACTGGTTTATGGTATTCTACTCGTAAATGTATGGAAAGTTAGATTGAGACGGACAAATTGTATTAAGATAAACACTTTGTTTTAATACCGATGATTAGAGTATAATTGGTTTTAAGCGGTTATATACAGTCAATACGCGACATTTCCATATTTTGTATATTATAAATAATCGGCTTAGAGATCACTGGTTGATTCTAAGTAATTTATTAATTACATAAGATGATAAGAAAATATTTGCGATAAAAGCATATTGTTTTATAACTGGCAGCGAGCAGTATATATTTTTAGGTTAAAGGTTAGAAGATCATAAATTTAAATGTCAAATGAATAGTATCAGAAACTTTAATATAGCAAATGTGGATTCAGGCTGAATGCCGGATTTAATAAATTAATTTAGTAAATAATGAAGTGTGATTCACCCGACAGTCGTAATCAATTGACATAGATACTAGCAGTGAATGAAATGGTCAGTCATTAAGACTATCAAGCTGGATAATCCAAGTTCAAAATCCTACAGACTGTGTTACTTCTATTCATGTTGACTGGTACCCATCAACATGAAGCCTAGCTCAAGCGGGATTTACAGCAGGTTAACCCTCCAATCACTTAATATCTCAACATAATGAGCACGATATTGAGTCAATTGAGCTAATGACTACATAGTAACTTTTTTGATAGGATCCCATCAGTAAGAAAGGACTAAACAAATATGACATTATTTATTTGCTACTCAGTGATGAATCAGTTCGAAGAAAACATAATTCAGTCAGTCGACGTAGGATCAGGCACATATATGCATCGGTCCAAGTTGCCACAGCGTATTAGCACAAGATGAACACCAAATTCATAGAAGTAGTCACTTCAATGGTAGTAATGTATAAAAGATTGTGTATAAGGATATAATATAGGGAGAAAGAATTAGTTCGTAGAAGAAAGATATAAAGCAATTGTAATCTTACGGTTTAAAGGAAGACAAAGAGTGTATACACCCACTTTGATATTCATCTTGTTAATTTCGACTTGTTCTATTAATGGAATGTGGAGAATGGGGCGAATACACATATTTAGCAGACTCTACATTAGTTACAACTGACTGAGTATGGAAATTCTTAGAAGTGAGTTTAATAAAGCAAGTTAAATAGTAAGAATAAGTTACCTTTTTCAAACTTATTACTAAGTTAAACAATATAAACTATATTTTAAACAAAATATTTACAAAATGAAACCTACTGGCTGCTACTGAATTCGATTCTACATGATTATCATCATTAACGTCAGTGTTAACGGCTAATTTCGAATCTTCATTCACTTCAGCCGATTGTGCCGACTGTCTATTAAAGTATAAAAATTAAAAAATAAAGTGGAAGTTATTAAAGATTGAATTCAATCCTATTTGTAGATAGAGAATACTTGGATTAGGGGGTCTTTGTGATTATCAGAATCAATGGTTGGAAACGATAGATCAAATGGCTCATAAACACAGCTACCTGTGTTCATATTGGTTAATACGTAAATATACGAAAATGAATAATATATTTAGAATTGTTTGAAGTGGAAGCAAAACCTAATCCCATCGTTATTTCATTTGTCAATATTAAAAAAAATTATTCGATTTATTTAAAAATAACATTATGAATAGGAAAATATCAGAAGTATGGAAATCTCAACGATAGGATAACCAATGATTTAAATATACCAGCCCGTAAAAAATCCCAAGCATAATTCGAAGTTTACAATAGCGACTGGATTTGGTTACATTTTTGTAACCCGTTGATCTGACTGATTCGATCGTATGGTGATGGTAATCTAATAGAGATTCTCCCTACCCTCATATTTAACTATTAACCTAATTTGCGCTAGAGAATAACGAAATAAGTGAAATATGACAATGGATTTTGGATACGTATCTTTCATACACTAATCGATTCAGATAGATAAAGAAAGGAAACGGAGAAGCAGATTGTGGAAAGCAAATATACCATACCCGTGACTTAATATGTGTACCCAAACAAAATAAGTTACAGACATGTAGATGAATAGGATAAGGGATGAACACACATGTAATCACATTAAAAAAGTCAAGGTTAATAAACAAATAATTAACAAGGTCAAAATGTGACTCAAGAGGAATAAAAATCAATTGATCTGTCAGGAAACTAGAATAACCCATGTGGGCCTGACATAGTACCAGAGGCTACAAAACAACTGAAAATCACTGGAAAAATGTTTTATTCCAGTTCGGAACTCCTTAATAAAGCAGATTCACAGCTAGGACAACACAGTAATCCCTGACTTTCGGTGGTCGTCTAACTAAGGTCAGATCAGCCCCCAAATGCCCTGGTACGGCCGAGAGTTGGGAGAGTCCGCTCTTCCTTTCGAGATGCTCTCACATGGCCACGCGTATATAGCCTCTGCCAGGGAAGTCCTACTCATCGCCTTCTCGTGGCGGGGGTGTTGTTTACGAAATTGAGAGGACGAAAAGCGAATATCCGGCGCTTTAACCGGGTTGGTGGACATGGAGAGTCCACCTAGGGGAGTTGGGAAACCCTCATTCCAAACCAATGATGCACATGAGCTACAGGGTCCTGAGGGGACAAATGGCGTATGAACCAGTCGTTGGTCACCGGCTACCATGGGACTGCATCTCCTTACGATGCTCAACTGCCTTGTGGATGAGACCTTCAGGTCGAAGGCTCCGGGTGTGGCCCCATGAGAAAACCAGCTGCTTCGGTTTGGGCACCCGGGCAGTATCACGGCCCCCACACAATTTTAATGATATTTGTGGGGCGCATATGTATCTGGTACCCCCATGTGCCAATATCTATGTGTTTAAATAAATAAATAAGCATGGTATAAACTACAAAATACAACAATTTCCATACCCATTCATCCTAATAATTCAAAATATCACAGGTCACTATGATATGTCAATAAAATAAAGCCAACATGACAACAAACAAACAAGTGGGAAAGTCAAACCATACGAAATGATGGTTGGTCAATTAAAATTGAGAAATAACAAATAAAATACATTTTAACTAAAAAACACAAACTATGATGTTTGAGACTGAAGCTACTAATTTGTTCATTGAACAAATGCCGAATGGACATGATAAACAAGTCTATATTCAGTTTAAAGTTTCAACTGATGAAGAAACAGATACATTAGATCCTGAAAAGTATGGAATAGTTACAGATACTTGAGTGGCAATGTAACAGAAATCTCTGCTTCAATAAACTTTACTAACATTTTTACAGGTAAGTGAATTTTTAAGATATATTTATTAGAATTTCGCAGTTGTTCATGAGAAACACGATGAAAAGTATCGACAAGCTGTACAATAGAAATGTTCCTACCTTCCGAAAATCCGCCGGTTTGAATCACACGTTTATTTAAACACATAAACATTGGTACAATGAGGCACTAAATATATATGCAACACAAAAACCATTTGATTTATGCGAGAGTCGTGATACTGCCCTGGAGCCCAAACCGAAGCAGATGAATTTCTTAAGAGGCTACACCTCGAGCCTACAAACCTAGAGGTCTAATCCATAGGGGCAGTGGAGCAACGTTAGGAGACGCAGTCCCATAGTAACCGGTGATCAACAACAGGTTCACACAACATTTTTCCCTCAGGATTATAAAGTTCATGTGGATCAATAGTTCAAAATCAGAGTTCTCCAAATCCCCTAGGTGCATTCTCTGAAACATACCCATCAATTAATTCAGTTTTCATGGACAATTTAGTAAATCAATAGTAATTACACTTAATGTGTGATTCAACATTGTATACATAAAACTATCTATACTTGGGTCTTAGCAAATATATGTGTATAATCAGATTATATTGCGTCAATATATATTAGATAATCTTTATCTTTGCATTATATTATTCTGATTTTTGTATTAAAACATCAATTAATTAGTATGAGAAGAGGTTTTGTGGAGATTATAGTAATTTCAATAGTTGAGATCATTAGTCAATTGGAGCTAGACCACCATGGAAAACCTGGAAGCACTGGACGGCTGTTTCCTCCTATTGTGGGACTCCTCAGCAGTGCGCATCCACGATCCCGCCGTCCAGTGCTTCTAGGTTTTCCATGGTGGTCTAGCTTCAATTGACTCATTATCTCAACTATTGAAATTAATTAATTAATTCAAATAAAAACCAATAAAATATTAACAACAAGAAACTCACTGTTTAATGTTATTATCAAAAATTTCATTTTCTTGATCTTTTGTAACTGAATTATGAACTTTTATAGATTGTGTGCTAATTTTATGCTTTAAATTAATTAGACAAGTTAAATCCATATCATCCAAGACTCCTTTAACTAATATATCTTTTTCATCAATATTATTATTACTATTATCATTATTATCGACATTATTATCATTATTATTACTGTTATTATTGTTGTTATTATTATTATCAAGGGTAATAATATTATCCTCTTTGAATTGTTCATCATTGTTTGGTTTATCTATGTGTTCAGTGAATCTACTACTTTGAACTGTTGTTTCTGTTATGACATCATCTTCCTCTTCATTGATATCATCATTATTATCACCTTCTTCGTTTTCTTCACCATCATGAATTAAGTGTACACCATTTATAAAACCTAATGTTTCAAATTTTATGTTTTCATTAGAATTTATGCTATGTAAAGAATTTTTCAATGAATGTGACAATTTTGGTGATTGAAGACACATTGATCTGAAGAAAAAAATGAAGAAAAACCTTGAACATTTAGTTAGATATCGCTAAGTAATAATTCAGGATTAAATACCTGAAGATTGGTAAGCATTCAATGGATATACTAATGGTCAAAGTTAGAATCCGTTTGCTTTCCAATTAATTTTCATTCCAGCATCTGAGTAACATTGCTAACGAGCACATCTATTCAGTGGTTTATTCACATCGATTTTACGCAGCTAGTAAAAAGTGAAGAATAATTAGAACTTGGTTGGTTAAGTTAAAACAAATCTCATCAATAAAGCTATGGGACATTAGATATTCGGACGTAATCAGTAAGAAACTTTGGGCCTGGGATTAATCCTAGTAGGTCTCATCAGCAAGGTTTGCCTATAGTCTTGGGGAGAATGATGTTTTTGAACCTTAATCACTTAACTACATAGTTTGAGACGTTATCACTGAATTATTTGAGCTGTGAATGACCTGTGGGAAGTGCAGGTGATAGTGAGTCATTTAAACTAGTGGTCACATTGTAAACAGATAGATAGAATTCGACCAGCAACAACGAGCAAACAAGCATGTCATTGGTCATCGTTCAAGAACTGATCAATGTACAATAGTCAGAAGATGAGGGAACAGAATACAACATGCAAAAACCAAAAATTAAACTAATAACCGATGTTTGCAAGTTGAATCGATCAATACAAATTTTAGATTTGGTTTTTCGGTAATTCAATCAGACAAATTGAACCATATTTTAGGCACACAACTATTAGTATCGATTCCCGGATTAGATCTATGGGATAAATAAAAATTTAGTAGTGATGTGATGTGACATGTTGGTAGATTCAAAGTACCTGGTTGGTGTGCTCATGATAACCATAATCAGCGGTTGGAGACTGGTGATATGTCCCAAAATCAATTCGTGATGACGTAGATGCACTTACTCTTTACCTTCCTATCAATCTTTAATTTTAGTATTTTCATATACATCCTTCCACTCTATCTTCTCGAACCTTCTCCAGTATGTTTTTTTCATTTTCATTGCTACTACATTATTCAGATCTTTTTGGCTACACGTAGACTTCATTTTGACATCCTAGTGTACCATGGAGACGGGCTAAAATATACAAATGGCCCAGACTGACTGACTGATTGAGCGATTTGACACAAATACACAACAAGTACACTTGATCCCTTCTTAAATATTGAACGGAAATTAAAATACTCACTGGTGTAAAGGAATGAAATTCCCAGAAGATATTAAGCTATCACTAGGTGATAATTTCAATGACTTCTTATCAATACTTTTCCAGTTGTTGACATCACTTATCGTGCAATGAACTGCATTAGAATGACTTTTCGCCTTATATTCTGTTTCGAATGTTTCTTCTATGTTATTGGTGGTATTTGATAAAGGTAAATAAACTGAATCCGACGATAACAGATTATTAGATGATGTAATAAGTTGATCATTACAATATGAATTCATTCTAAATTTTTCATCAATTAATTTCGTTTTGAACAATCCTTCCTTGATTTCAGACAGAACTTGTCGAGGTGAATTAGTCGATACTTTTAATAATGGTTGAGGGTTAGTCATAGAGTACGATGACGTTTCGTGTGCAATAAACAGACTTTTATTATTATTATCATTATTATTATTGATACTTAATTTCGGATTAGCAAGACTTGATGAGTAGGATAAACTAGACATATTGACACCTTCTGTACAGGTACTTTTATCATTGCATTTAATTTGATTTAAATGAATATTACCATTATTTAGAATAGATGAAATCATAGAATTATTATTGGGTGGGTAATTGCTTGGAGTAGAATTAGTAGTTGTAATAACAGATGGTGAAAACGATTGAAACACATGATTACGATCTTCATTTGAACAAGACTAAAACAAAATAGTGGAATTTTAGTAAAGAAAACCATACGTAGATAAGGCAAAATAACTTATCTGAATTAGTTAACAGTTTATATTCATTAAACATGATCTGCGATGATCATTTCCATATAAGATTAATATTTTAAAAGAATCAGTAATTAGTATGACGTGATTTATCTGGACAACAACATTTTCAGCTGTTACTCGATGAGTATTGAATCAACGATAACAAAGAACACTGCTAAAACAAATCAACAAAATTAAAATCCAGCAATTTTTTTAATGTAATTCCCGTCTGTCTATCTAAATCTTAATCAGATGAAATACCTTCAACGTACTGGATATAAGGAAAAACCTCATTTGAGTTACAAATGTTGTATAGCTATCTATCTTTTAGGAATTCAATAAATAGTAAAATCTTAAGGATAAATTGAATAGTTTCTCTGTTCGAAATTGTGCCACTTCATACAAAAGTATTGGTTAAATGTCAAGACAAACTTAATGCTTTTTTAATGAAGTTAACGATAACTTACCTGTGATTTGAAAATAAATTCCATAACAAAGAAAATGTTAATGTATTTAACTTTGTCAACCGATAAAATACTTATAGTGTTTGTTGCTGATGTCAACAGATATAAGTAGTATATATTACCAGTCGAAGTGGAATACTTGGCAGCAGAAGGTTGAGAAGATCAAATAGGAGAGAACGAAAACAGAGAGTGGTTGGTATGGAAGTGAGGGAAAAATAAAATCTGAGACAATTAGTGGACACTTTACAAATGAAGTATTTACTGTATGGTTCTCAGATTTTACTAAGGAATTCTGTAATTTTGTACTTTGATGCATTTGGTTGTCCACACTTATGTTCTCATTCACTACTCATTTACATACTGGTGAAAATCAACAATAAATACAAACTGTAACTTACATTATTCATTGAGGACGTTAGTTCTCCAGAACACGGTTTACTTGAAATACCTAAGAAACAAACGTTTTTTTCACTGAGAAGGTGAACATACAAAGTATGTGCCAATATTATTAACCACTGTGAAGAACGGATATAATAACACATTACTATAGAATTGTAATTTGAACTCTTATTACAAAGAAAACATGGATGTATTTCATTGATTATGGTGGATTATTTTCTTGATGGACAAATAAAAATACATGACCACTAAGATTAGTTAGTAGAAGTCATAGATTGTGTTCAAGTCCTGATCCCAGTAAAGTACATATTAATCAATGTTTGTTAAATATTCTGGCTTTTTTATGCCTAGACTTGTGTTAAGACACGTAGATTATTTATTCTAAGTTCATTTTCTATTGAAGTTAATAAATAATAGACGGTTGCTTTGTTTCCATATTCATTAACCTAAAGGTTAAAATCTCTCATTAAAATCATCCACGACCCCGCATACGGGAATCAAACCCAAAATCTTCGATCTCGTGTGCTAACGCTTAACCTCCATACCACTGAGCTGGCATCTAATGGTGTTAATGTCTAACTTCAATCAATCCAGATCTTTTTTTAACTAATTTTGTGTCACGATATCAATTTCTGATTGTTTATTTTTGGATAATTCATTTGAGATGTTGTAAGTTGGTAATGGTTATTTGATAAAACAATTAAATCTTCTAATTGTCTTGATGTGGAGTTTTTTTATCTACATAACATACGATGAACTCTTGGTTGGTTATCTCTTAAACTGATCGACTATTCCTAGGATAAAAGCAGTTCTGTTAGGTACTTTATTTAAGATGATTGGCTTAATTCGCAGATTATATTCATCAAAGATTAATCTCAGTTGGCGGATTATTGAAAACTAAAGAACAGTGGACAGGTATTTCGTCTAAGTTTGGGAAAACTCATAAGTTCCTCTTCATGACCCTAGCAAGGATCAAACCCACAGCGAATGATCAACCATTAGAATCACTTGATCGGAGTTCAGTGGTACAATTTTAACTTCAATCACTTTATGATATAGTGATACAAAAATATAATTCCACTGAGAATAACAGTGCTACCTTTAATGAACATAGCTCCATAAAAAACTATTCAACTGAACTATGACAGTATTTTCTTTGTTAGCATTGGTTGTGATTTGAAAGCGAATTTATTGATTTGGTGATCAGTTATGGTAATATTTCACAATATAACTGTTATGAATTTAAGTTGTTGGTTGATTTTTACCCTGTGCTAATTGTTGTGTCCTTGACTGGAAAATTAGAGAGCAGCGTACTTATCGATCGATTCAATGACACGTAAACACGTACGGACGGCCTAGAGTCTCTATTGGTCTCGCTTCCCTGTCTAGCCCAGTCAGTTGAGTCCAGAACACAAGTCACAACCTCTGAGATATGAATCACTATATTTCAAACATACTTTGTTTATATACCAATCAAGCATACCACATCGTACCATAAAATAGAAAACAACATTTTGTACAATATTCAACAAGTGAACAGATATTGACCAATAGGAAATGTCCATTTAAAGTCCAAGGACACCATTGGACTTAACATGATAATTATTGGTCTATTCCTGCGCATCCACAACAATAACCTATGACTATAAACCGTTTATCATTATCAGTATTATCATTAGTACCTCATTGTAATCTTTTCAACTGCAAATCAATAATTGTTAGTTTATCTTTCCTTACATAATAAACAATATGTTGCACAATTATATTATGAATTTTACCATTTATTTTGTTGTTCCATCATGTAATAAGTTTAGATTAATAGGATGAACGGTGAATGGGTATTTAGATGATTGAAATGAATGAATTAAGTGCTAATCGATAAATGAACAAAACAATGATACGATCTGGTTGATTGATGTCTATTCAAGAGATCTAATTATTAATTGATATTCAAGACAAAATCACTAACCAGAAGAAGAGGTTGTTGTTGTTGACTTTTTACATCTAATATAACAGTATGCATATTTATATACAAATTATTAACAGAAATAAATAAACAAGATTAGATTTCATAAACGATTAAATGAAATCAGATTTGTGTAGGTCATCATTCAATCACTATTCAACAAATTAAAACACCTAACTGTTAAGCCTAATTCTTAGTCCCTATTAATAATTTTATAAGAAAGTCTTCATGATTTTTTTCGATCATTTAACTCATTAACTATACAAATAGATTATTAACAATTTGTATACTAGCAAATTGAACGATAAATCAAGGACAAAGACCATTTATATTAACTTGATGTTGTTCACTTGTATCTTCCGGTTGTTATTTAGGACTGTAAGTGATCAGTATCTTGTTGGCATATGTGCATCTTTAGGTCACAAGCTTTATAAGCAAAGATGGATAGTGGCTAGCAGTAGAATCCAAAACGCGCGTTTTGTCCCATTTGGGACTCGTTAACTGGATGTACCTGTATCTCAGAATTGATGTTCACTCTAGGAATCGAATTCAGTACCGTTTGCTTCAAACTCCATCGCGTTATCCACTCAGAGTGAACACCTAAAGATTTGTTTTACACAACTAAATTGGAAGTTCAAAGATAATTGCTTTGTTTCTTTTTTCAAAAAAAAAAACTGATTTTTATCATGAACTAATATCAGATAGAAAATTATTATAAGATATTTCAAAATGATCGTGTTCTATTGAATATCATACACAAATTAAAATCAATGTATGGGGATCACTGCACAGTAAAATGAATTATATCATGGTCGATTTGACACTACCAAGTCATAAATGCATACTATTGAAGAATCCTTAAAATTTACATAAATCACACTAGACATTTGAACAAGACATTATTCTCTTAGATTAAAATATATTAACAGTGTAGAATCCTCATGCTTTGTTAATCATGTGTAGTTAAACCTTCTTGAAATCCTTAAATACAAAATCAATTATTATCGTTTAACCTGGTGAGACGAACCAATCACATTTAAGATAATAGGTCTTGGATTTTAGCGCGAGATTAATTTATCCATTTAGCTAAATGGCGTTCCGCATTTTAACTGATATCAGTTCGTGATGAAACCCTATACCTAGTTGCTAACCTTAACTATCAACTGTAAATCATAATCTTTATTATTCCTACAGGTCAATAATCCTCATTTAACTCTAGTAAATAGGTGGACATTCTCAAGGTCACTTTAGTGTTGCTCATTGATCGTCCATAAAGTATACTCTTACCTTCAACTTTAGCAAAAGTGAAATATTTATAACTTATTTTTAATCAGTTGGATATATATTTGAGACTATTGTTTCAACGATCCTCATACCAAAGAGATCATTTAGTGTAACTAAATATGTTTAAATTGATAGTAGAAACTTGATTAAATGAAACTAAATTTATAAATTCCTCAATCAAGTTCTTTATAACATTTAATCTACGGTAAACAAAAGCATTACAATTTGTAATATGTATATCAAATATATGACTTATTATTAAAATAGCAAATTTCATAATTAACATTCATTACAACAACTTACTACTAACAGAATGAGAAGAAACGTCATCACAGGAAAAATTCTGATTTAGCTCAGTTGAGAATCTGGTACATGATGAAATTGATCTACTATGATGATTTCTTGGAAGATTATGATTGACAGCTTCCTGAGTTATTAACTCTGTCTGAATTGGATGAAAGTATTATGTAAATTATGTATTAACATTAAGAAAACAATCACCAGTGACTAACCAAAATAGTCTTTTAATAATTCACAGTAATTAACGAACAAAATAAAAAGAATAAATCATCATATAAAAAGGGATTAAATGGAAGTTTCTATAAAACTGATAAAATCTTATTTCTGACAATTATTTCATCTTCCCTATGAAATAAAGTAGGATATTTTTGAAGTGAGGTTTGTAAGTGTTTGACCTTTTGACATAATTGTACAATGGCTTGGAAGAAAATAAAAATATATGTCTAATCCTCTTTCAGACTCATCAGCCGGATATATCTGCATTCCAGTGTTGACGCGATACATTGAAAGTCGAACGCAGTATCTATGGTTATCATCATCAACGCGTTTTCCACTAAGGTACAGAGAGCCATTGACTTTTACAACGGATAATACGTCTAATTGTTTTATGCTATACCCCCGTAGAGTTTCAAACAATATCGAGGCATTACCTTAAAATTTCCATAAGCTAACAAAAACTGATAGTTGTGCAGTCTTAAATATCAACAAACGGACACAACTTATAAGACTTAAGGTTGTCAACGATATGCTGTCTTATTAGAGCACCAACTGTGTTTTATTTGAAGGGATTCTGTGGATATATGTTTAGTTCGTCGATAGTATTCGTCACGGATTGATATGATTTAGGGTGTAATTGAAGACTAAGAAAGACTAGACAACTGACTCATCCTAAAGTGGGACTCAGCAATGCACATCTATTATACCACCATGCACCAAACACAAGGTCTTCAGGGGCCCCATGATAGGGTGAGAAATTAGCCCAAGACGAATACCTGCACACGTCAATAATGTATTATTCATTGAATTCAGCTGATATATTAACCTGACTACATACTGAGTTAATAATATATGAATAGAGCACTGTTATCTATTGAGATACCAAATATCCCTTCATCTTGCTACTGAATTGTGTGAGAATCAATAAAATATTAGTTTATTGAGTGGATGAGCAATGTTTAACTCATCGAAAGACAGCCGTACTGGAATTAAACTACTGAACCTGCTTTAGCTCTGTAATAAGTTTCACTTCGTAGCATGTCATAAATTATATATTATAAATTATATTGTTTTAACAATCGCACACACTATGACGAAATCCACTACCTTTTGATATCCTCACCCATTAGTAAACAATTATCACTGTACCGAAAACAAATTACATAGTAAAAGAACAGTGAAATTCTTATGTCTGCTTTAACAGTTTTGTGGATACTTAAATTATTCCAACAGAAACAAGGGAATAACTTATTCCATTACGTGATGTAATCGGTGACTTTATGTAAAAAATGATGTCAATTCCTTTGCACATCTGGTGTATGAATTCTCTTACACCCATTTGAAATGCTTTTGGTTCTAGTGTTCCAACATTCGCATGTTTATTAATTATCTAATATCAATATTGTTCATTCCTGAACTGTTTTACTGAAACTACATAATGTAATCATTTAAGGTAACACACGATCTATTAACAAGTGAACTAATATGATTCATCTGACAACAAACACAGTATTATATACACAGTTTTGAGCAACATGGTGAGACTACAATGTATGGACGACCTATGAGCAACATTAAAGTGACCTTGAGAATGTCCACTTATTTACTAGAGTTAAATGAGGGTTATTGACCTGTAGGAATAATAAAGATTATGATTTACAGTTGATGTTTAGGGTTAGAAACTAGATAAAGGGTTTTCATCACGAACTGAAATCAGTTAAAATGCTGGAACGCCATTTAGCTAAATGGATGAATGAATTTCGCACTAAAATCCAAGACCTGTTATCTTAAATCTGATTGGTTCGTCCATAAATTAAAGTCTTGCTACTTTTATTGCTTTAGTACCTATAAATTATCTATTCATTACACGCTCACAGTTGGAAATCGAATCCGATTCTATTTGAAGCACATCAGAATACAAAATATTTATTTGACTAACAAATTTCAACAACCATGCACACTGTCTTGTAAGCTAAAAGACCATGCAGTCACATGATCTCTGTGGTAGTTAGGCATTTTATCAGTTAAATGGATCAAACCTAACCGTACTAAGTGATTTTTGACAACAAGATCAGAGAGAGATGTGTGTAGCTTAACTTTTACGCTATCCAGCAATGAATAATATGTACATCATTAAAACGTTGAATACGCATCATTAGATGATAGGTCTACAAAGTGTTGAATACGGTAGTATAGACAAATACTGCATATAGTGAACTCATTTGTCCATGCATAAATATATTTACACTAACATTTCTGTTAACAATACCCTTATCAGTATCTTCATTGAATTTGCTGTGTTCACTTTGAGACAACGATTGTATAAACAAGGGAGACTTTATTTCGGATATGAAGCAATTAGCTTTCTCACTAAAAAAGGAAAATAAGCACCAAGATACACAAACTATTATGATGATTTTTTTAAAAAGAAGCTATCAAAAGAGTTGTGGGACTAATTAAAAAGAAATGTAACCGAAATATAAAATTTGCACCAGAGAAAAACCTGACTAACTGTAGTGGATTTTAGAATTATTTAATTACTTTTCCTGAGGAAATATGTCTGGCACAGTAGAAGACTCAAAAAAACTTTTTATTATAAGCTAGCATTGACTAAAGAACCACTAGAAACTAGTCATATGCAATGTAAGACCTAATGTAAATATAAATTGACTTAAGTTCTCATACCATGTCATTATGGCAGGAGAAGATTAATAGGATAATAACCAAAATAGGGAAGTTATTAATGTCAGAAATCGTAAGAAATGATTACGAACACAGAATATAGCTGAAGATGAAGGAATGAGTTCATACAGTGAAGATTGTGGACTAATAATGAAGTTCGAAATCTATAAGTAAACAAAGAACAGATGTATCCGGCCATCAAGACCGGGTTCGTGCCATATTATCCAAAGTCAAAAACTTTTAATCATGAATATCGCCCGGACCCCAAACAAGTAGAAGTATGTACCTACCAACACAGCATAGAAAAACAGTAGAACTATTGAAAATGAAGCGGGAGAGCTAAGGTGATAATAAACAACGACATATTTTCGTATTAGGCAGTAAGTAAGAGTTGTTGATCACTTTACGACTTTTATCTGGATTCTTGACTAATTACTTCGTATAGGAAGTCACTCTGTTCCATTAATGACAGCTAGTTAAATTTGAATTTGCTAATCCATCAGATCAAAAAATATGTTTTCATTCACTTAAGTCGCAGTAATGTTTACCGATCGATTACACTATAAGTTCGTACCCCTTATAACAACCAGAGCAACAATTAATTTAGGTACATGGAATGTTCATTGGGAATTGGAGGCAGACATCAAAAGAATGATTAGCAATTCAAAACACCTGGAAAAGAGAGCCCAGAACGCAGTTGGTTGGAGATTCCTGATCGGCGGCCTATGCCTCCACGAGGTGTAATACGCGTACTTAGGTAAGTTTATGATAGGATGATGGTAAAGCGCAAACTGATGTCATATATATATATATATATATATATATATCAGTATTACTTAGTTTTGTTTTACATTTACACTAATTTGTTTAGTAGAGTTTTTCCTTTATAGTTTTATCGTTATTCACCTACTACACTTTTGGTAAGAAAATAGAATGTCTTCATCACTCTACCATTCAGAGGTTAATCGAATGGCCTTGTGTTGAAACAAAGGCTCAAATCAATTATTAGAAAAACGTGCTTTGCAGTAAGAATCATTATTTTGGAAAAAAAAAGGTCTATGACTCACTGAAAATTTAACGGCATATTATCCCACTCTTATAAGCAATTTACAGGTGTGTGTGGTCAAAC